TTCCGCTGCTTTATAAATGTAAGATAGAACATATAAAACTCCCCTAATTATTTGGTTCATACTAAAACAGCACAAGTAAACCAATAGAAGATTTTCGTCCTAGCAACTGAGACAAAAATCTTTCTTACAGATGAGCTCTTACGTGAGTTTTTGATGAATAAGACCATTATTGTAACAGATCCTATTTTAAATATTGCTGAGAAGAAACTCATAAAGGTCTGTTTTTAGGCAAGCCACCCCGACAAGTTACTAAAAGGGACGATATTTGCTTAATTTGCTTGCTTTGCGCGTGTAAGAAATACTAAGATAGCAGAGACTCACTAATCAAAACGATTGGTCATAGATTTAGATTACAGTTTGAAAATCAATTCTACGCTGTCTATTGATATAGCTGGTCGATCAGTCATCGCGAGTTCCGCAACTTTGATAGGTATAGTGACAAAAATGTAAACATTCGCATTCCTGTTATTAAAGGGAAAGATTCAGTAGAATATCTTCATGACATACTATCATCCAGGTCTAGACCATCACAAATGGGCCACTTGTATTGGCACGGTAAATTACATGATTGGGAGAGCTCGACAGCTTCTCCAAAGGAATTAATGAATTGGATATAGCTCTATCACGTACCCTGGTTTGTTACTGGCCAGAGCGGAAACAGCTAACCACCAGTGTCGTTGAGGCGAAGTTGGCAGTAGGCAATCAGGCATGAGACATAAAGGGAGAGCTGTCATTAATCTGCTGGCATCAGACTGTCGAATAGGACAATCTTCAACTTTACTAGAGCCTGAACCTGCCCGGGTGAGGTCAAGGGCCCGCCACATGGCATATATATTGTCATTGCTACTGTTAGCATTATTGGATGAAGCAGGATCGTGACTAAAGGAAGTCAAATCGATGCTGGAGAGACGGCGAATGGTGGAATAGATGGAAATACCAGAAAGGAAAGTGATAATATCTAATTGGCAAATACGTTCGGCAAGTGGAGTGGTTCGAACTGTAGTCTGACGGCTTTCCACAGGGGAATGGAAAATAGAATCACCAGGATAGGGAGAGGTTACCAAGGGCAATCGACCGAAATGGTGTCCAACGACTGAAAAAGAATGGCAACAAAGAAAGATAAGAGAAATATAACAGGTGATCATAACAAAGGATAAGATATTAAGCAAAAGAAACAGAAAAAATCAAATAAATCACTGACGCAAAGTAGCATTGAGATATAATAAACACAAAACGGAACTGAAATAACAATGCAATTGGTGAGAAAAAAACTGTTTCTTGAATGATCTAGCCAAAAATCTGCCAATCGGAACCACCTATAGTGGATTTTCTTTTTTGAATATAGTCACATCAGTTCATGTTATAAGTATAAAATGTATAAATATAATAGGAAAACGACGTAATCAGCCATTGGATATAAAGACAACTGGCTGAGTTAAAGCTAAATTTAATTATGATGTCCTCAC